GGGGCCTGCAGCTCCAGGCACAGACTGGGCTTTGGTGGATTGTGGGCGTCTTGAGCTTCTTGGGCTTTCTCTCAGTTTCTCTTAAAATCCAACACAGGTGCTTTTCCCCTTGGGTTGCTGAAAGAGAATCAGGAACTGATTGGAAGAGCCTGCGGCCTGAGCGTCCAGACAGTAGGGCGCCTCCGAGTGCTGGCCCCGGGGACCTCTCCCCCCCTGGGGTCTCAGCCGCAGCCTGGCCCTCTTCCCTTCATTTCCACCTTTCTTCCTCCTGCCGAGCCCACACCGCACAACCCGTTCAGGAGCTGCCTGCGTAGTTACCTGTCTCTTGAAGAGAGGGCCCTCAGGAAAATCAGAGATACTTGCAGGCACCAGGCTTGTATGCCGGGGAGAACACAGGGAGGACTGCTAGTGCTTCTTACCCCGGGGCTTGTTTACATTGTGTACATTATTGCATACTGTTTAAGGTTAAGGAGATGTTTCCCACTAAAGGTCAGGAAGGACCCAGTCTAAGATTAAGAAGTGGCTTCACAGCTCTCACTGTCTGCCTCCAAAGTCCAGATTCCGAGGTGGTCCTAGAGCCCATGCTGCTTTCTAACTTCACAGCTCTGCTTTCACACAGGCTGGATGTTTTGCTTTCATCCTCTCCAGCACTGGAAATACAAGCCTGTGCCACCAGGCCCTGACTTGGTGGCTGGCTCAGCATGCCTGGGAGCAGTGCCAGCAGCCTGGGGTGCCAGGGATCGACCCCCGTCCCTAAGCAGGCGCTTAGTCCACTGAGGTGTCTTGCTGGCCCTGCACGGGTAGAGTGCTTGCCCAGAGAATGTGTGCAGCCCTGGGGTTTAGCCACAGTACTGCCAACAAGAACAACAGCAAACAAATGAACAAAACCCCCAAACAACCTTCTGCCTTTCTGGTATTTTGAGGAGCATGTCTTTGTAGAATAACCAGAATGACTTTTATTGTTATTATTTTTTTAAAGTGGAAGAGAACATACGAGAGTGTTTCATTATTTAATTAGAAAATTTTAAATCATGAAATTATTTTTTCAAAACAATTATGAGAATGCTACTATATGCGGGAGAGCTGCTGTAGAGTGAAGGTGGAGGGAGCTCTAAGCCCTGGCCTCTACATTCTTTGCAGCCGGAAGTTTCAGGGTCCATTCTATTGAATATTTGAATGCTCCGGATTATCTTTCCATGTAGTGGTAATGAAGCTGAGACCCTGGGAGAGAAGCCAGACCTGGGGTCTCCGCCATGCAGGTTCCAGCCTGCAGCTGTCCCTGAAAAGCCTGCTGAGTGCATCCTTGCCCAAGCCCTGCAGGACACTTGGTCTGGGAAGGTGGGCAGGCAAGGCCCCAGAAGGTGTGCTTCCTCTTGTCCTTCCCCATCAGCAGCAGCCTGTGTCCCAGACCTTGGTGGGAAGGAAGCAGGTGGAAGAGGAACCAGCAGGGCGCACAGCAGGATGACAGCGGAGGTGGGATGCAGGGCCAACAAAGGGGGGGGTGAAGGGGAAGAAAGAAAAAAAAGGAAGGAACCGGGAAAGGCAAAAAACCAAGAGGCCACCATCCCAGCTGAGGATCAGGTGCCCGTGTTCCTCTCTCGACCTGTGAGGAGCCCCTGGAGCCTTTTCCAGACTGTTTCTTAAAGAAGGAGCGGTGAATGTGTACAGCCCGGGAGGGCAGTGTGGGCAGGAGACCAGAGCGGCCCTGACCAGCAGAGCCGCAGCTTGCTGGGCCTCAGATCCCTACCTGTGGATCTGACGACCAGGAGATCTCTGAGGGCCCCTGGCTCCAGCAGAAAGGCGTGGAGCAGCGAGCCTGTGGCGTGGGCGCTGTGGAGGGGCAAATGTGGGTGTTAGGGCCCTAGAACTGGAGGCATAGGAGCCAGTGGATACCCAGGAGTCGTGCAGCGGGTCGTTCCTAGGCAAGGAAGCTGCACCTAGAAAGGCCAAGTGACTTTCCTGCTGTTTTCAGCTTTATTCTTCTTTTTCCTCTGGACTCTGCAGCATCTAAAGATGACCTCAAAGCAGTTCTACATGGTAGATGAGCTTTTCTGGCTTTGTTTTTTGAATATTTTATTGCTTTTCAAAGTGCTTTTTCTTTTTTAAAAAATACAAATAGCACATGCATGCTATAAAAATTTCCACTAATAGGGGAAGTGAAAAAGTACAAAACTGTATGTTGTCACTCTCCCACCCTTACACACTTGGTCTCCAGGGGCTTCTCCTGTTAACAGTTAGTTGATTGTGCATCCATTTATAAACTTTCATTTCTTCTCTCCTCCTCTTCCACTTCCTTCTCCTCCTCCTCCTCCTTTTTCTGTTTGTTTTCTGAGACAGTGTCTCTATGTGTAGTCCAGGCTGGCCTTAAACTCACTATGTAGCCCAGGCTGGCCTCGATTTTGTGGCAATCCTCCTGCCTCAGCCTCCCAAGTACTGGGATGACAGGCATGCACCATCATACTTGGTCCTCTTTTCTTGATTCCTTAGGACTGGGGATCCAACCCAGGACCCCCACACTGAGCTACGTATCCAGCTGTTTATATGTTTTAAATTTTGGGAAAGAATCTCTCTAACTGGCTGGGTTGCCTTGGCTGGGCTCAGATTTGCTGGCCTCCTGCCTCCACATCAGATCATACGTGTGCGCTTGGCCCTGAGCTTGCACCACAATGAGCTTGCTTGCTTGCTTGCTTGCTTTCTTTCTTTCTTTCTTTCTTTCTTTCTTATGAAAAAAAGTATTTACTTAGAAGCATTCACAATGTCAACAAAACAGTTGCAATTTTTTTTTTTTTGCAAATACAGAGTGGTATTCAGTTAACAGAACAATTATTTCGCATAAGCTGCATCAGAGACAACTGAAGACGGAAAACTACCGTCCCCATGTATAACTAATCTGTGCTGTGCACCAGTGAGGACCTGCTTTACACGTTCACGCCAATTTACAACCCCATCCTGTACCAGGCAAGGTTAGCGGCT